AGGTTACAAACCTGCAAGAGCGCAAGGAAGCATAGCTCCGTGGTGGAATGAGGACTGCAAAATTAAGCACCGCGAGTACCATGAAGCTAGAAGCTGCCCAGACAGCGAGGCAGAAGTGCTGAGAAAGTTTAAGCATATAGTAAGAGCGGCAAAAAGAGAAAACTGGAGGAAGCAGGTTGAGAATGCCACGACAGACTCACAAGTCTTCAAATTGATGCAGTGGACAAAACCCAAGATAGGCCGAGATCCTCCCCCCTTAAAATCGCGGAGGACACGTGGAAATCAGACCCACTCAAACGAGCAGAAGCTCTAAGAAACTCTCTTCTCACCAAATTTGACGCGGCCCACGATCTCCACATATGGGAATCCGAACAAACAGAGTTGATCCCGTGGAATGCGACAATATCACTAGAGGATGTAACGACAAGTACTATTAGCTGAGGCAACAAGTCCCCAGGTTCAGACAAGATAACAGTGCGACTGCTGAGTGCATGCTGGCCAGCCATTGGGCGGCAGGTAAAGAACATCTTCCAAGCGTGTTTAGAGCATGGGCATTTTCTTACCATATTCCGAGTAGCAGAAATTATCATGCTTCCAAAACCAGGACGAGACCTAGCAACAGCTAAAGGATGGCGACCGATCTCCCTTCTCTCTTGCTTGGGAAAAGGGCTAGAACGAATAGTAGCCAAAAGAATGGCGTGGCTAGCAATCGAACATCGTGTTGTACCGCAACAGCTTTTCGGCGCACTCCCAGGACGCTCAGCAGTCGACCTTGTTTCATGTGTCATACATGATGTAGAGGCGGCAATGCGGAACAATAAGGTCACAGCAATGATTACCCTAGACGTACAGGGCGCATTTGATGCAGTTCTTCACAAACGGCTGTTACACCGGATGAGAAACCAAGGGTGGCCCAGGCTATTATGCCGATGGGTCGAGTCATTTTTGACCCGACGAAGGATACGGGTTCGACACCAGGATGGAATGACCCGAGACAAAGTTGTGGAGTGTGGGGTCCCGCAAGACTCAACACCATCACCACTACTATTTCTCCTGTACATTTCCATTCTATTCAAAAATGAGAGCGAGGTCAACAAGTTTGGGTACGCAGACGACATCGCCATTCTCACCACTGGAAGCACAGCAGCTGAAGCGGTGGAAAATAGTCAAGCAGAAGTGGAGAAGCTTTTGCGGGTTGCAAACGATCATGAAATACGTTTTGACCCGTCGAAGTCTGACCTAGTGATAATTGGAGGGGGTCCTAAGAAAAAGCTGGACAAGACAGGCTTAGCTATCCAGATCCAAGGTAACAAGATGATACCTTCCCCTCATATAAAATCGCTTGGGGTATGGATAGACTCCCGACTCAACTTCAAGCAGCATATGCAAGAGTAGTGTGGAAAATCTCAAAGGCTAACGCAGTTTATACGGCGAATCAACAGCGTTAAACGGGGCGCAGGCCCGCAACCAATGATCAAGGCAGTTCAGGTATGTATCATAAATACAGCGATGTATGGAGCCGAAGCATGGTGGCCGGGCTTGACCCGGGTCACCACTAATCGTAGCAAGAAAGTGAGCACGGGAATAGGCTGGCATACTGATCTCTTGGACAGTACGATTATCAAGGCAATCCGGGCAGCACTACTGGCATGGCGAACTACCCCGAACAAGGTTCTCCACAGAGAGTCTGGTATCCCCCCTGCAGCAATCATCCTTCAGCAAAGGCAATTGAGAGCTGCGGCGCGAATTCAACCAATGGACTTGTGGCATTCTCTGGTAGCCAGATCCCAAGAAGGTCTAAAGGAAACCATAAACCGCCTAGGAATCCGCGCAGGATAGAAGAACCGATCGTTCATAAGTTCAGAGCGCTATGTGACACGTTTGCAGACCAGCATTCAGAACGTACCGCTCGCTGTGGAGTCTGGAAGACTCTTCTATCCAGCATCGGGTCGCAGCTACCAATCAGCGATACTAGACAAGCAGTCTGAAGCCACTCTATCCAAACAATGGATAGAGCACTTGCCAGCCGACACTATATGTGCGTACCCAGATGGCTCATCCTGCGGGCTGGCAAAATCTGCATCGGGCTATACTCTATTCAGAGGATGGAAAATGATTGGGAGCGGCGCAGGCCCTTTGCTTGGTGCAGAGACTTATGACGCGGAACTCTTGGAAGCCCAGAAAGCCCTCGAAGCAGCTCTACTGGTGGCTAGCAGCAACTCAATCAAGGTACTCTCAGATAGTTTACAAGCTGTCCAGGCCTTACGCAGTGGTGGGTCTAGATCTTTCCAGGGAATAGTCGACAAATTTGTCAAGGACTGTCAGCAACATCGATCAGTGGAAATTCGGTGGATATCAGGGCACTCAGGGATCGAGGAAAATGAGATGGCAGACAAGCCTGCCAAAGCCGCCCTAATGAAAGCTCCAAATGAGGTGACCAATGAGATTATCCCTATGGAGGTGCGCCGCAGAATAAAATCTACGTTTGCATCATTCCATAGATTTGTCAGGGAGCGCACGGAGGGACTAGTAGTAGCATGGTGGCAGAAAAATGCGCCAAAGTACTATACGGACTTAGATCTTATAATGACTAGGAAGCGACCTCCAGAACTTGCTCTACCGAGATGGGCTTACCACAGGCTGATTGCAGCTAGGACTAGGCACGGCGATTTCGCCAAATACCATGAAAGATTCAAGCATGAAAATTTCGAAGCTAAATGCGAGTGCGGTCGAGAAAGACGCCCTTGGCACTTTGCAGAATGTCGACCGGCCCTACAACGGTGGAGAGGCATGAAACGAGAACCTCCCCCGAGGGCAATTGAGATGCTTGGAGGAAAAGGTTGGGAAAAATTTATCGAATTTGCAACTGTAACGAGATGTTACAGGGAAAAGACCGTATATGGAGAGTCATAAGCTCCCCCAGGGGTATCAGTGGTTATTTTAGTAGTCAATTGCTGGGAAGAAGAGGACACGGCGCAGGGCGCTTTTGTTTGGACACACTGTATTGTTTACTTATGTTTATTTCTCATGGTTTCTTTGGCAAGTAAAGCCATGCACGTAGGTAGTAGTGAGTCTGTATAGATCACATACCCGTATCACGCCTATTAGGTGTAGGGCACATGCCTGATACGAATAGCAATCAAACAAACTCAAACTTGAGAATGTGTTTATTGTACTATTTGAGTCATAGATTATCTAGCAGATTGAGCTCCTCTCTGACCCAGGCCACACCTTGTACAGCGCTCCTTGCCCCTTATGTTCCTTGAAAGATCATTGATATTTTGCCCGTGATGAATAGCCATTCAGCTTAGATTTTACCCGTGGAATTCGGCCACCTTTTCCACTGAACCTTCTACACAAAATTAAAAATTAAAAAAGATGGCAATGGAAACTGCGAGCGCGAGAAAAAGTCTCAAAAAACCTGCAGGCCCAGCCAGGCGAGGCCTAGACACCGGGACCACATGAGGTGCGCATATTCGTCTATATCTCTCTTCTTTGTAATAGTCGAGGCCGACTTGATCCAATCCATCATCTCCGTATCAGATGCTGGACACGCTTCAGAAACTCACCGGATGACTTTACCTCCACGATCAAAGGTGGCTGATGAGTAGGGCTCCGACCCTGCCATCTGATCTGATTGTAATTAGCTTCATGATAATGGTGATAGGGGGATGTGTTGAGGGATGAAGACGATACAGACCGCGAAAGCGATTGGGAATCGTCATCGAAGTGAGGACTTTGTTTCTCAATCTCGGCTCTGCAGACTCTACAGTGAGAGTTGGAGGTTCGAAGGGAACACCACTGTCAGGTGTTGAGAATAGTCCCCCCTAAGAGACTGTAGAAGAATGAAACAGTGAGTAACTTCCATGATTAATTGCCTTTTCGATCTGGCTCAGTTACGTACGATCTCGTGACTTTTGCATAATTTTGCTGTGAATTCTTACACTACCGAAATATAATGCTAACGTGGAGTTAGTGGCGTTGGACGATTCGTGAAGGGTATGACTAAGCAGTGAAGAGATGCACCCTTTTTTTAAATCATATAATATGTGTTTAGCTATCTAACTATGACACATGACCGATGCTATGTATATATGTTGGATGACTCTTGACGACAGAGATACTCCTACTCTAGATCTCATTTGTAGATGCCACTATGAGTATTGTTTGCTTATACACAACAGTTGACCCTCCTCCGTAAGCACACACCAAAGGGAAGTTTCAATATCTTGAACAGTCCTAGCATCCAATCATCATCCATGTAAACCTGCGCCGTGGAAAATGTGGTTGTGTTTTGCCGGATTCGAACTAGAAGTCTCCTACCTCAAGTGAGATTTATATCCAAGCTATCTAGACCTTACATGGAAGACTGGCTAAGACGATGTACTACCGCACCACACAACCATGACAGTTTTTATAGTGTCGCTTGCACTCTTGAGGGATGCACCGCATTCAGTGCATAGCCAAGGAAAAGACTTTCCAACAAAATGATTGGTTTTTATCCATTAAAAATAGTGAAGGTTTAACTGCCAATGTTATTCCTGCAATAGAAACTCAATACAAGGATCAACAATTATCTTTGCACCAGATCTGAAACTCAACGGGTTCACAGATCAGTGTATAAATGCATGCATCCTCGCCAGTCACTAAATATTAATGGGCCTCGGACCAATAAAAAGCTACCTACTTGCTTTGCTTCTTAAATTTTTTGTCAAGATGTTTCAGTATCGAGTAGAACCACTGATTAAAGAGTCATGATGGCGCTAAATGTTGGGAAATTACTTGATGTTTTGAGGGTTATCATCTGATGATATTCGGTTACATCGATACAGAGATGCCTAGCGACCTAGATCTAAACCGGATCTAACACCCCCACTATTCGCTGCGCTGTGGTAACAATCGCTGAAGGGTCAAATTGAATTAGTTGAAAACTATCGCGATTCTATAAGAGTCAACGTGAGGCTCTATACCCTAATCCACTTCGAAGTATCTATTTCACCATGTCTCTTGCTAGACTAATTGAAACAAAAACTCATTTAATGGCTGGTAAGTTTAATTAAAAAATTAAATTCCTGAATCACTATTGTCTTATGTTAGTACCACGCGGAATGAGCGACCGATAAATACTCAGGAACTGAATATAATTTTTAAGGCAAACTCCAAATTACAGAATTTATTTTTCAGGTTCCCATAGACTATACGAATCCAGATCTTGGCTCTATCCAGTTGTTTGCACGCTCAGCCACAAAATATGAAAAGCCAGCCAAACTAGCGACTGACGAAGAGAATCGGAAATCATTGCAAAAACCATGGCTAGTCTATTTGCAGGGAGGACCAGGATATGGCTGTCCATCTCCACAAAACTCAAACATAACATCTACTATCCTAGAAAAAGGTTACCAGATGCTTTATCTAGATCAGAGAGGCACCGGCCAAAGTAATCCAATCACGGTAGAGAGCTTACTTCTTCGGGGAAATACACAAGAACAGTTTGACTATCTCAAACATTTTCGGGCAGATAATATTGTGAGAGATTGTGAAGCTGTCAGGAAAGTTCTTACAAAAAATTATCCCACGGAGCTTGAAAAATGGTCCCTGTTCGGACAGTCTTTTGGGGGGTTCTGTGCATTTACGTAAGTGTCTTATTGCGAAAGGTGATGGTTTGTGTTATTAAGTTGCCTAGATATCTATCTAAATATCCCGATGGCTTGCGCGAAGCATTCATCACTGGTGGAATACCTCCTATCGGCTGTTCCCCAGATGACGTCTACCAGGCAACTTACAAAAAACTTATCGAACGGAATAAGGTGCGCAATAGCCTGAAGTAAGTATAGGTAGCTCTACTTATAACTTCAGATTTATTACGATAAGTATCCTGAAGATGTACCAGTCGTCAACAAAGTGGTAACACACATTAAAAGCTTAAAGGGAATAAGTCTACCATCCGGAATCAAATTAACAGTTCGATTATTTTTGACACTAGGTCGGAACTTCGGCTTTCATGGGGGACTTGATTCTGTTCACAATATAGTTTTGCGGGCTAAGACTGACATAGCTCAAACTGGAAGTATAAGTCGACCGTAAGTTAATGGAATCATCTTGCTGATACTCCCGACTTACCCTACGATAGTACACTTTCAGTCATAGAGGGAGCATTGAGCTTCGAAAATAATGTGTTGTACGCAATTCTACACGAGGCCATATATTGCGAAAGGTTGGCTAGTAATTGGGCCGCAGATCGTGTAGGTAAAAAATTGGAAAAGTTTGAATGGCTTTCCAGATGGCCAAACCCAATGTCCGAAACCCAGGACGCTGCTATATACTTTTCTGGTGAAATGATATACCCATTTCTGTTTGATATCTCGCCAGATCTTAAAATGATTTCAGATTTAGCCGAAAAAATTGCAAGCTATTCCGACTGGCCAGAGCTTTACGATAAGTTTCAATTAAGTCGAAACGAAGTCCCAATATACGCCGCAACTTTTATTGACGACATGTATGTCGACTTCAACCTTACACAGCGCACAGTCCAATCAGTCAAAAATTGTAAACAGTTTATCACGAATAGCATGTACCACAATGCTATCTCAAGTAAAACCACAGATGTTGTGAAGGAATTATTCGCTCTGCGTGATGATACTCTCGACTAATATTACGTTTCGCCGTCATTTTTAGGGATAAAATTACTTTCTACGTAGCAGAATACTTATAAAAAAAAATACTCCAAAAAAACTACAGATTATTCCTCAAAGGGGATATCAGACGGAATATGTCGCGTAAATTATAAGTAAAAAATTATAATTTGATACAAAAGGAAGCATGTATATTGGCTAACTTCTCAGGCAGTTGGCACCTTCTGCACTCCTTCAGCAGCTTAAGTACGTGCTGGAACGAGCTAAATCAAGTTAACTACCATGAAGTACATAAATATAGACGCACCTCAACGAACTAACCACCTCAGACTTTGTAAATGTGTTGAACGTATCAAGTCAGAACGTCTAGAGTTTCGAATTCTAAATTCCAAGGCATAAGTCCTCCTCACCCTCGACCACCACTCCAGTCTTCAAATCTTTTTTTCGTTCAGTTCCAGTCATACCACGTATCGGAATCCCAATTCCGACCCAGGTGTCCATTTCTTCATTTCATACCGTTTTAATATATAGATTTTTATCATCAGACTTCATGGCAAAAACTGTCGTACGTTACGTAATATAATGCGAGAGAGAAAAAAGATTGAGAAGCAGATTCCACTAGCTAAACCCAAGCGATTTAGTTCACATCTAGATAAAAATAACTTTATTTTTCTTAAATTACTGTTTGATTTTGATTTTATTTAAACCGATCAGGCATCCAATGGGTCCATATAGGTGACTATCTTCATTATTTACAAATAAGAACAATTTGGCGAAACTCTCCAATCCTACCTGTTTAACAACTATCGACTTGTCTGATTTTCCTCAAGGGAGTGCAGCTTACACTGTTCTGCCAATGTGGACTCCACCCTCTCTCCTACTAAATCGTTTCATTTTTTCTGAAATCACTACTTCGACATTCCCTGTAAGTCGTCGACAAAGAAGAATTCTTCGCCCTCCAATTTTTCTAGTTTGATCGTTCAGTATGCTCTGCATATCTAGGACAGCCAAGAAGAATCACATACGATCCAAAGTCTAAAGGACACAAAAGCATATCCAATATAACGACTTCTCATCATTGTCTGTCTTACCATTCTCATATGAGTACTCAATCCCTATCTTACTACATATCACTTAGCCTGGGCGATCGATAAGGGAGTTGCTCTAGCGGACCAAAAAACTTGATGGAGGATAGGCAGCTGACCTGTGGAACGAGAGGGGAACAGGTCTCTGAAGATTATGCTGGGACTGACATTTTCGAGGGGTTTTCAACTTTGGAATTTCTGTGGGCGCCAATACCAAGATTTTGGCAATTTAGTCAGGAAGGCTTTTATTGTCCATTAATCAACTGTGCTCCCTAGAGTCATGGACGGCACAAAATAAGTTAGGCTAAGCGCCCGTACAGCAATCACGCTCTGTCAAGACTTTTCTGATACTTCAGCACGACCTTCGGGAATGAGTCGGAAGGAGGCTAGAAAGGCAGAGTGTGAATTTTCCGAGGTACCCACAAGTCTGCAGCGCTCAGCCAGCCGGCCTCTTCGAACGCTTCAGAAAGAACACTATATTCTTGGATTTAGTCCTAATGTCGGTATTAGGAGAACTCCGCACCCAGTGGTTTTCGCGATATTTCCCGGCTGCCATACACCCGCAAATGGCCATTGTTTCGTCAGCTGGAGAGGGGAGATAATGAAGGGCAAAGGGCTCCTCTAAGTGTATGATGAAATGAGTACTTGTGAGGGGTGGTACCGTTTGAGGGAAGCTGTATGGGAGGCATAGGAGGGAGTATATCACCTGAGTCATAAATATTCCTGACCTGTAGGCAGAAAGGACCTACATATCCTTAGCCATAGACTCAGTGGGAAAATGAACACAGACGATCAATCAATTCTGGCCACAAATACACACGCAAATTGTTTAATTATTCAAGCATTCCAGTAAACCTGGAAAATTATTTTACCATATTGGTGAAGGGACCCAATAGACAGCTCTAGGTCGGGCAGCTGTTTCGAGTCAGATACGCCCCATGTGCCCCGCTCGATTAAAACTAGGACATAATCATCATAATTATATCGTGCGTATAGTGTATTAAAAAATTTTATTATCTGCTGTGTATTTAGGTATCTAGCTATGATACGTGATTAGTGCTGTGTGTATATGTTGAAAAACTCTTGTATTAGGACACTCGTATTCTAAACTGCATTCGTAAATAACACTATGAAATTGCTTGCTTATACAGGGCAGTCGACCCCACTCCGTGAGTACCCGCCAGACGGAAGTTTCGAATCCCTACACTAAGCAAGCATAGTTTTATCAGTCATGCATCTCAGCTCTGCCAGAAATGGAGGGACTATTCTCAATACCTGACAGTGGTGTTCCCTTCGAACCTCCAACTCTCACTGTAGAGTCTGCAGAGCCGAGATTGAGTAACAAAGTCCTCACTTCGATGACGATTCCCAATCGCTTTCGCGGTCTGTATCGTCTTCATCCCTCAACACATCCCCCTATCACCATTATCATGAAGCTAATTACAATCAGATCAGATGGCAGGGTCGGAGCCCTACTCATCAGCCACCTTTGATCGTGGAGGTAAAGTCATCCGGTGAGTTTCTGAAGCGTGTCCAGCATCTGATACGGAGATGATGGATTGGATCAAGTCGGCCTCGACTATTACAAAGAAGAGAGATATAGACGAATATGCGCACCTCATGTGGTCCCGGTGTCTAGGCCTCGCCTGGCTGGGCCTGCAGGTTTTTTGAGACTTTTTCTCGCGCTCGCAGTTTCCATTGCCATCTTTTTTAATTTTTAATTTTGTGTAGAAGGTTCAGTGGAAAAGGTGGCCGAATTCCACGGGTAAAATCTAAGCTGAATGGCTATTCATCACGGGCAAAATATCAATGATCTTTCAAGGAACATAAGGGGCAAGGAGCGCTGTACAAGGTGTGGCCTGGGTCAGAGAGGAGCCCAATGTGGATCCTGAAGGTGTAGATAATCGGGAGCTGGAGACGAGGTACGAGCGTCGTGTTACCACCAGTTAGGTAAGACCGGATCTTCACTCAAGGCAATAGCGTAGGATGTATATAGAGCATGGTAGTCCTTAGAAGAAAGGCTAGACAACCTTCTGCTTATCTTAGACTTCGATATTGATCACCCCGTGAATCCGATATCGTGAGTCCCGAGTAATAACTGTCTCAACTACTTACCAGTACCCTCAAAAATAATTATTTTTGCAGAGCAACCGCTCAACTGAAAAAAAAAATAAAAATAAAAAATAAAAGGATTACCTCATATTTTTATATCGCCAGCATGAGCGCACTGGGCGATTATCCAGACTCTTTTCTTGCTGAGGAAGATTCAGTCCCTCAGAGAGAATCGGCAACTACTTATCATCGTACCATAAAAGCCCTACAGCGAGCAACCAATGAAAGATTTGCATTTACTGACAGACGACTTGATAGACTTGAGAATAAGTTGGAATTGAAATTCAACTTAATGATGAAAGAGTTTGCCAAACTCTCAACTCGTCTGACAGACGCATCAATATTCTAGGATTCAAGTATCAGCAAAAATGAATCTTTCAAACCCAACCACGATGCAAAAGTAGAAGAGGAGCAGGGACAGGGCCACCATCCTACTATATCGAAGGGCACACCAAATTCTACGACTGTGCCACCTCAAAAAAACCCCTCCGACCAGGCCAGACCTCTAGATGGCCGTATTAATCTTTTTCGAACAGTTTCCCCGTTTCAGAACAACATGACAATCCAGGAGAAATATGTCAAAGATATCTGGCCGGAAGCAAAATTGAAGTCAGAAATCTTTTATTCCGATTAAGGGAGCTCCAACAATAGAAATAGAGTCGTTCTAAAATCAGAATGGAAATTATCCAGGGCGTCAAATGATGTTTTCTCAAAGCTGAGAAATATTCAGACTGTATTATACCTGACAATGATACCTTACAACCTATGGCCGCAACGAGTAGCCATCGAAATGGACGGCGATTTCTCTCTGGTACGACGGCTAATAGAAAAATTCGATATATCATGGATGCAAACATTGGAGGCTATACTCGAGACTCTAGAGAATCACGAAATGCTTCAAGAACTTGTCCCGGAATTCGCACGCCTCGCTCCCTACAAGGATGAATCCTACTTGGATTATGCATGGCGTGTTCGAAATGGATTTTTCAACTTCCCAATGCACATTAGAGGGTTGGATATAGTCAGAGGCATAGCTATAAAAAACCTCAAAACATGCATGCCAAGTGTTTGGTCACAGATCAGGGAAAACCAACGACAAATGTCAACTAGCGAGCTGATTGATCGAGCTGTTAGACAGGCTAAGCACATCGCCCATTGCGAAATTGAAAAAGATATCTACAAGATATCGCCTGAATTGTCAAGGTATGGGTACGTGGAAGATTGACGAGGTCAAATCTGGTGAATGAGATTGTCTACAAAGAGGAAAGGTGATCCACCTGAGGCTAGAGAGTAACTAAATACAGACGCGTTTGCGCTCTACGCGATTCCCTAATCACACGTGACCCTATCTAAATGTAGCAATACCCTAACATGAATCAGTGTTCCTACAACACAACTCACATTTGTATTACAAGCAAAGATCTGAGCCAATGACAAATGACGCGACGGGAGGTAATCCTAGACTAACAATTGTAGACCCCACAATAGACAATCAATTAATCGCAACCACGTCCGAACGCGCGTATGTAGAAAAAACGATGAATTGCTACTCATGTGGAAAAGCTGGACACATCTCTCCAAATTGTCCCACTAAAAAAAGGGAGAGAATACCCCTAACATTAGGCCTACCATGGAACCGCAGTATAAAGGCCAAAAAGTTACAATTAAAGGAACTCTTTTTAGAGAAAATTCCCGGATCGGCAACCTGATTTGCACAGCGAGAAAACGTCTACGGGAAGGAAAGACAAGTCAGGGTCGAAAGGTCTTTTTGTTGCATCCGACAAAGAAGATGAAGATATCAACAATTCCCCAGTTGACCGC